TCTATTTTGTATAAAGATGTTGATACTAATGATATTATCTGTAGTAGTACTAAAAAAATAATGATAGCAGGAGTAATAATAGCATTAAAAATTAATGAATCATTACTAGATTTAGCACAAAAATTTAATGAACCACAGTTTAGGTACCATAAACCTTTTTGCATTTCTTTTCCAGCAGCAATTAATTTCAATTCTTAAATTTTGAATTTATTTTCTTATTTATTGTTATTTGAGAGAAGGGGAGTCTGATTTATTACAGGATTTCAAAATATTTGGGGTACCTCCACATCTCTTCTAACTTTGGAATGTTACAAACACTGGAGTCTGGATTCACTAAGTTAGGGAAAAGAAGAAGGCTTTATGAAAATAAATCTTCTCTTTATTGCAAAGAATGACTGTAATCATCAATGACTAAAAAAATCTAATGACAGTAGCTGTACTTCAGTGAAGCAATTACAAACTTCACTGTAAGTAAGCACTTAAGCATATCTGAGTTATATGTTTAGTTTAATCTTGCTGAAGTGGCTTGTTTAAATAATCGAGTTGACAATAGTAAGTATATACTTCTAGGATTTTCATCACACTGATTTTTATCGATTAAATGTGTTTCATTGAATAATATTTGGAAGTCTTTGAAAATGTAGAACCAAACACCAAATTTGGTAATCATAAAAGCAATTTTTTTTGTATAGCACTGTGTCTAAAAGGAACATTTGCTTGGTACATATCTGTAATTTTTTTAGACCTTTATGAAACCCTGTTGTTTTATAGTCATTAATTCTTTTAATTTTTTTGATCAGGTGATTTTTTTTCATAGTTTAATATATATTAAAAAATCCAGTGAATTGTAAAAATCTTGTATTTTTTAAATTTTAAGGAATAATGACTTTTTGTCTAGTACTAGAATATTTCTGGATGGTCCCAATGGATGATTTATTTCCTGTTGTGTTCTAATCACTGTGTTACTGGAGCTTGGCCTTTCACCATTTACCTATTATTGAATGGATTAGAGAATTTATATTAATGTGTACTTCCTGTATTGACAGCTGATTAAACTGTCAATAAAAATTACCTCTGTTCTCTTCCAGCTTATGAGTTACAGAACTGCCCTGATCCTCCTCCTTTTTTGAATGGATATATAGTCAACACAGATTACAGTGTGGGTCAGTCCGTATCATTTGA